ACTTAGTCAATGGGTACAGCAAATAAGCAAACCATGTCTAAAATTTCAAGTATAAAGTAGCAAAGTGAGGAGTTGATGCTGTGGTGTGCAAAGAGACGCTGTGTGCTGTTTCTCTATGAATGTCTGGCTCCATGGCAGCAAGTGTATCATAATGAGTCCCGGAGCTGAAGCTGCAGTCTCACACTGTTTACATTCATGTTAAAGGTTAGAGTCTTAAGCATTTCTCAGCTCCCTCTGGAGACAGATAAACAGAACATTTTAAGTACGGAAACAACATGCTGCACTTGGTTTACTGCCATGGCCGGGTGCTGAAACCATCAGTAAGTGCCAATGAATACTACATGACAGCACATTTGCATTGCCTTACAGACCCTTGAGGCCTGCTCCGTCTCCACTGACTGAGATCAGGTGTGTGCGAGGCAAACAGGTGTGTGTAATTAATAGATTTTCTTACTCTCAAAGGAAGAAAATCTGGTGGATAGCCTATACAATGCACATATGTAAACAAATTACCCTTTTCCATTAACATATTGTTGTGGAGTCTTTTAAGTCATTTAAAACAAAGTTGCAATCATTCGTCTTTAAGACCCTTTGGGGCCAGGCAATCCAAATAATCTATTGTGTCTCAGACTGAAGTGAAAGCCTCTCAGTTCCTTGGGGTATTAACCAACTCCAATACCCATATAATGCAGTTCATTAACCACATGTCCATGTCTGCTGAAACGCAGACAGTGTTTGATTTCATGTGTTAACTTGAATGCAGCATGTTCACAACTTCTGCTGTTTCATATTCCCCACATCGAACCTTCACCTGAATATGGATGAGTGAAAATACAACCCTGTCTTGTGCACTAAAAATGAAAACAGTTGGTATGAAAAAAGGAGAAAAAAACATTTTAGGCAATTGCACCATAACTAGATAAGCATGTTAGCTTAGAGGCTTCTTGTAATAAAATCCTGCAAAAGAAAGAAACACTGGAATCTGTAGATATATAATCGTTTTTTTTTTTTAATAATATCTTTAGTTCCATTTCATGGTTAGTTAAATGTGAAGATTATTGGAGCACTAAAAGTGGATTTCTATTACTCTATTCTAATGAAGAACACAAAGATTTGTGATGTTAAAGGATATTCCTTTACACAAGGGATCACAAAGCTGTTAGGACCAATCTTCTGAGCACCATGCATAGCTGTGGAGATATTTCACTAAAAAACAAAGATTTCAATCTTGTGGGGGCCCTAGAGGAAAAGTCAGGGGATCACTAAAGTCATTATGGTTCATCTTCTCAGAACACGAACATTTCTTGGATAAAAACATACTGTAAGTCTATATAGAGTCTTGCTAGATGATATTTTGTATCTTGTGTGGAAAAGATATGGAACTTATGTATCAGGTTTCAAACACAGAACTAAGATTGAGAATATTGCAGTTTTTACCGTACTTAAACTTTATTTTTGCTAACAGGTGACTTCAGAAAAATGAAGTGTAGATGGTTTCTTTGTCCTTCGATGACACGTTCATGTTCTGCTGCCAGTTATATATAAAAAAAGAAGCTTTTAGCTGTTTGTAACCATCCACCACATCATTTGTTTTGTGCATTTGACTCTGCTGTCCTTCTTACTGGCCCTTTCTCATCCGAAGACCACTGATTATAGATAAAAGCTTATTTCTGAGAAAATCAATCAGATTGCCTTCAAAGATTGGCGGCCTGCATGTTGGCTTGCTGCTCGTAATGGTGTTTGCTCTGCTCAGAGTGTGGTCATATTAAATGAGAATCCTTCAACTGAAAACTCACTGAATTTAATTTACTAACCTTTGAGCATCAGGTAGCTAAATAAAGGCGATCGTTATGTATTCTCGTCTTGACAATTTTCTCCCAAGGATGACTTAATTTGAACAGAAAGGAGGAAAACATTTTCCATTTTCAGCAAGACCAGGATGATGCTGTTAACAGAATTCACTTCCTGTTCCAGTGTGATCCAAGTAATTGGAAAATAATAACCCACTATAATAAATTAAAATCATTCCAACGTCTCGTAACCTAAAGGTGCACAATTCAGAAATTCATTTTAACATTTTCTTCACTGCTCCTCCATACGCTCCTTCACTCATGGCCAATGTAGAAACTTGAAGGACTGAAAATTAGATTTCTTGATTTGATGTCATTTTTCATCAAGGTTTCTCAGCCCAGGCTGATTGCAGTGCCAATTTCTGGCAGCCGTAATGTCAATATCAACCCAGTTAGCTGTGTTTTCTTGGTTACCATGCCAATTTACTATAGACTTTCATCGAGGTTATTGGCAAGGATGCTGGGTTAATATTTGATGGGAAAAGACGAAAAAATAAAACAGGTCATTTGCTGTTTTAAGAAAGTTCTCATTATCAGAGTCCTATATTTTGCACACAATGGATGAGAAATGTATTGAATTGTCAATATTAATCAGCATTAAAAACACTTCTTTTCAGTTTCCTGAGGGTTAAGTATTAAACAATATGTATCGTCCACATGTGTGCTGTTGTATTGCCATGTCCTTGAGTTTAAGAAAAATGCTTTTTCAGATGCTTAAGAATCTGCTGATAGCTGTCTTAACCTTCAGGTTTAATGTTTCATTTTAAGTCAGCGTAAAAAGAGTATCACAGTGGCACTGCTCTTTTTGCGGGAGCAAACCTGATACATATTGTATGTATGTAACAGTTAAAAAACTTCTGCTAAAAAATTGTACAATATTTTCCACCCAGAATGCAGATTGAAACATCTTTTCCCTGCAAAAAAATAAAATGTGTGCCTCATATGTCCACAAGACTGTTCCATGCTTGAATGTTTTAGGCTCCATATTGCAGTCCATATAATCTTACCTTGATGAGTAGGCTACAGTTCATGTGCCCAGTCATCCCAGCAGCACACATGTGGCTGTGGGCCTGAAGCATGAGTCATATTTTTAGTATTAACAGAGAGAGGCATCAAAAAGGCTTCAAAGCAAGACATCAAACACAATCACAGCAACTTTTATAACAACTCTGATAAATAGTTAACTTATTTGCCTTAATTCACTCTCAAGAGCATTTTAAATTCAACATTTTTTTAGGAACATGTTTCTCATACTCAATGACGCAACTTCTGGCTTTTACAAAATAACTAGTAGAAGAGTGTACCATTGATTGCAGTAAAAACCAAGGAGCTAGAAAACAAAGCATTGTTTTGCCCCAAAAATAGGTTTTCATCTTTCTGTCAAATTATCTACTGTGAGCTTTGGCAGCCATTAACGGGTGACAAACAATCAATACATGCTATTTCACAACTTCACTTTCTCTGTCACCATTGTGACAGCTGTCAAAGAGTTGCCTCATCTTGTTACTTGGTCTTGGGTGTGCTGAAATATCTCTTAAGGAGAGAAAGTCAGAAAAGCCATCAGTTGGATAGCTGACACCTGAATGAGTCTTGGAGTCAGTCTACCCCTTTATTTACATTTCCCACTCATCCGTGTATAGATGTTATTGTTAGACTTTAATGGAATAGTTCGATATTTTGAGTTTGATTGATTGATTATACGATCAATACCAATCTAATACCTGTCCATTCCTTATGAAGGTACTGTCAACAACCAGTTTACCAGCTAGCTTGACATAATTCTCTTTTTTTACACTTAGGGGGCTTTCATGCCTAACTCGTTTGGTCCGGACTTTCTGACTTTTCAGTTTGATCAGAAACAAAATTGCAGGTGTGAAACCTCCCATGGACCACAGTCCGGACCAAACAGACGAAATTTGGTCTGACGAAAAGAGGTAGTCTCAGTCTGGATCAAACTGAACCATGGTTCGATTCGTTTCTGGTATCAAAGCATTTTTTGGATAGTTCGGACTTTCAGACCATTTACAGGAAGTTCAGCTTTTGCTGTATAAACCGAAAACAAACAAATGCACAGGGAAATGCACTGAAATAAGGACTAGTGATGGCAAGTTCGAATCATTAATTAAATCCTTCCATTTTCACAATCTTTCCTGAGTAGTATACAACCAGACCAGCCATATAAAGGCTTATGTATATTAATAATTACTATCATTATCTCTAAAGTGCTCATTCATACAGTAGCCTAACGTCCCTATCCATGAGTAAAATATTAATATCAGATTTGTGTATATAGAAGTAATAAGCTTCATATGAATAAACACACTCTTATTAAAATTCAACCAATTTAATAATAATCTGGATCAAGCCAACAAGTTCTTAAAAGAACTCCGGCACAGAGAGGGGAACAAAGAAATACACATTATATAAATGCAGCAGTTTGGCAGGTCTGGACCAGAGACTGTATATAAAAAATGGACGTAGTCATCGTGACGTCACCCATTTG